CAATCAACAAAATAATCAATTTCTGAAGTGTAAATGACCACACTGAAAATTTAAGGATTGACTATCTATAAGCAGCACACCCCTTTGGGGTCCTCATTCATTTTTAGGAGTGAAAAGGGGTCCTGAGACCAACAAGTTTAAGAACTGTCTGGACCAGACAATCTCAGAGGTCCTTTCTTGCCCTGACAGTCTATTTAAGGACCCTTATAGCTCTGATGTTCAATGGTCTTCCCTTTGGGGTGTTGAAGGTTTTGCAGACTTCTAAAAGCCCCTGTTTTTAAATGCTGCCACCAGTGAGAGGGGTAGCACCTTAAGCTCTTATCTCCTGATACCTTCACTACAAAATAATAATGATAACTGGCATTTACATAGAACTTTATATCCATTATCTCATTTGATCCTCCCAGAAACCGTCTAAGGTAGGTAGGACAAGTATTTGCAAACCCCAACGCTTTATAGGAAATGTGAACTCATATTAGCTGAAGTCAAATTCATCTGCAGAGTAAGAGTGAATGGCTTAGTTCAGGGCCTTTCCTGGATTTGGTTGGGGGACAGGGAGGAGAAGGAAGCTTAGTGGTCGAGGGGAGGAGACCTCCACCTGGCAGGAGACAAACTTGAAGTCATGAGGGTGGAGATGGGAAGCAAGGAGGAAAGAGGGAAAGGGAAGAGGAGGCAAAAAGTTGCAAAGGGGCATGAGAGAAAGAGTAGGAAACACTCCTTTGGAAGATGGGCAGGAAGACAAGGGACAGATTTATTAGGGAAAATCAGAGTCACCTAGAGGTCAGTCTCAGCTCGATTTTGTGCAACGCTGCTCAGGCCTAGGGGGGATGGAGAAGGTTCAGCCTCTCCCTTTTCTGTGTAACCAGGGCCATGACCAGTGGTGGAGGTTGGAAAGGAGCCAGTTGTGAGGTCTGGGAGAAACAAAGCAAGGATGTGTGGGGGTGACACACAGACGACAGGATTCCAGACAAACAGGGGCCTAGAACAAGAAGATAAGAGGGACCCCAGAGGCCAACAAGGCTACTTGTCCAAAGCATAGGTTGTTGGCAAGAAGCAGGTAAGGACCATGCTTTGTTCAGACAGTCCAGAGTTTTCATAATTATAATTCCCCTTCCTATAATGCTTTAAGGCAGCAGTTGTCAAACTTTTTTGGTTTTAGGGCCTTTTTACACTCAGGTAGGTGGCACAGCGGATAGAGCACTGGGTCTGGAGCCAGGAAGACTTGAGTTCAAATATGGGTGACCACAGACACTTACTAGCTGTGTGACCCTAGGCAAGTCACTTAACTGCTGTCTGCCTCAGTTTCCTCATCTGTAAAATGGGAATCATAATAGCACCTACCTTGCAGAGATGTTGTGAGGATCAAATGAGAAAATAATTGTATAGCATTTAGCATAGTTGTGTCCTACTCTTCATGACATTTGGGTTTTTTTGGCAAAGATGCTGGAGTGGTTTGCCATTTCCTTCTCTAGCTCATTTTACAGATGAGGAAACTGAGGCAAAGAGAGTTAAGTGACTTGGCCCGGGTCACACAGCTAGTCAGCATCTGAGGCTAGAATGAAATCAGGAAGATGAGTCTTCCTGACTCCAGGCCCAGCATTCCGACTACCATACAATCCAGCTGCCCCACAGCAACACCACTTAGCGCAGTTCCCAGCACACAGTAAGCACTATATAAACATTAGCTATTATTATTATTATATTACACTTTAAAATAATTGAGGAACTTCTAAAGAGTTTTTGTTTATGTGGCTATAGTTGTTGATATTTATCACATTAGAGATTGAAAACATCTTAGTATTATTTTTTCTCTTCTTTTTTTTTCTTTTTTTTTTTTTGCTAGGCAATTGGGGTTAAGTGACTTTCCCAGGGTCACACAGCTAGTAAGTATCAAGTGTCTGAGGCCAAGTTTGAACTCAGCTTCTCCTGACTCCAGGGCCGGTGCTCTATTCACTATGCCACCTTAGTATTATCTGCAGAGTAAGAGTGAATGGCTTAGTTCAGGGCCTTTCCTGGATTTGGCTTAGTGGGTGAGGGGAGGAGACCTCCACCTGGCAGGAGACAAACTTGAAGTCATGAGGGTGGAGATGGGAAGTGAGGAGGAAAGAGAGAAAGGGAAGAGGAGGCAAAAAGTTGCAAAGGGGCATGAGAGAAAGCGTAGGAAGCACTCCTTTGGAAGATGGGCAGGAACACAAGGGACAGATTTATTAGGGAAAATCAGACACATCTTAGTATTATTACGAAAATAGTTTTGACCTCCACGGACGCCCTGAAAGGGTCTCAGAGACCCCCATGGCTCCCTGGACCACAGTTTTGAAAACTGCTGTTTAAAGTTTACAAAAAAAGTGATTTCCTCACAACAATCCTGTAAGGTAGGAAATAATCAATCAATTAATCAGTATTTATTAAGCACCTACTACGTGCCAGGCATTGTGCTAAGCACTAGGAATAAAGCAAAAGACAGTCTTGACCTCAAAAAGCTTACAGTTTAAGGAGAGAAATAATACACAAACACATACAAAGCTTGCTATCTACAGGATAAATAGTAAATAATTAACAGAGTGAAGGCACTGGAATTAAGAGAGGTTGGGGAAAGCTTCCTGTAGAAAGTGGGATTTTGGTTTGAACTTAAACAAAGGTAGGGAGGTCAATATTCAGGGTAGAGGAGGCAGAGCATTCCAGCCCTGGGGGACTGCCAGAGACAATGCCTAGAGCCAAGAGATGGAGTGTCTTGTTCATGGAACAACCAGGAGTAATAAAAACATCTGATATTTATATAGCACTATCTACATCCATGTCTATATCTAATCTATATATTTATAACTATTTATATCTATAGTTAATCTATATCTATTTATAGCTATGTCTAGTCTATATCTATGGGCAGCTAGGTGGTATAGAGAGCCAAGCCTGGAGTCAGGAAAACTCATTTTCATGAGTTCAAATCTGGCCCCAGGCACTTACTAGCTATGTGACCCTGGGCAAGTCACTTAATTCTGTTTGTCTCAGTTCCTCATCTGAAAAATTTGCTGGAGAAGAAAAATGGCAAACCACTCCAGTGTCGTTGCCGAGGAAACCCCAAATAGGGTCACAAAAAGTCAGACACCACTGAAAGGATTCAACCACAAAACCAATAATCTAGATCTAATCTATATATTCATCTATCTATATTTATATTATCTCACTTGAATCCTATGAAAGAAATCTTTTTTGAGGGGAAAGTGGTCTGGGTCTGTGATTTCATCAATATGGGAGGAATCTCCTGGTGTTTGCATTTTCTTCTCAGATACAGATTCACCACTTGTCTGTAGCTTACACTAGAAAATTTCCTAAGTTTGTCTTGAAGAGTTTCTTGGAGCACTGAGGAGGACTTTTCCAAGGTCACACAGTTAATTTGTGTCAGAGACAGAACAGGAATCCAGTTCTTCCTGATTCCCAAGGCTAATACTCTATCCATTTCATCGTACTTTCTCTCTTTTGAGTAATATAGAAGACGTTAGGATCCTTGTGATAAGGAAAGAAGGAAAATGAAACTCAGGCAAAGTGACTTGTTCCTCTTTACCAGCTTGTAATTGTCAGAGCCAGGACTTGAACCTGGGTCTTCTGACTCCATAACCAGTGATATTTCCGTTAAAAATAATAATGATAATAATGGCAAAATTTATATAGCCCTGACTATGTGCCAGGCACTGTGCTAAACGACTTACAATCATTATTTTATTTAATCCTCACTACTCTGTGGACTGCCAGAGATCAGAGGGAAGAACTTTAGCCACCTAATCAAATCTTCTCATTTTACAGACAGGCAAACTGGGGCCCAGAGAAAGGGAATGATTAGCCCAGGATCACATAGCCAATTAGTGGAATAGCTAGAACTGGACCTTCAATCTCCCAATCTTCAGTTTAGGGCTCTTTCTTTAAAAAAGAAAAAAAAGAAAAAGAAAAAGAAAGAAAGAAGAGAAAAGAAAAGAAAAGAAAGTATCGCAGCTTTTTTTTTTTACATAACTGTCACTTCCTCTTTGTGGTTTTGCCCTTCTTAATCATTTATTCAATCTTGTTGTGGGCCAGGGTTGGCCTGAGGTAATCCCTACAGTCTCCTACAAAGAAGTTAGAAGCAGCTCTGGGGCAGTTTGAATTAACTTTGTCTCTGATGGGTTGATCTGAGACCCCAGGAGTGTCTTTTGGACAGGAGGTCTATAAAGTCAGCTCAGAGACACCAGCAGAGAACTCTTAAGACCCCAAGAACTTTGTTACTAATGGGTTTTTCCCTTCTTTCTTGTGGTTTTTAACTTTTGGTAAATTGCTTCATAAGAACCTTGGAAACTGTTTTTATTTGAGGGTACTTGATTGATTTTTTGAACTCTCAGACTCTAAGTAACCCTTTGTCCTAGACATGGGACCATGGCTGGCCAAGTCTGGAGCTCTTTTCAGCTCTTTGCTGGAGTGCACATATAAGAGTGGGGCTCCTCTGCAAAGGTTCACACAAGCATCTTAATTGGGAGTCCATAAACTCACTTCCCAATGGAATTCTCCCTTATAACCAAGAGAAGCAGCTAAGCAAAACAAATGGGCCATCTGCCATTTCTGACAGTGTACGTAGCAGTCTGTATCCATAGCCTACTACCTCTCTGTTGAAAGAAGTTTCATCCTCAGTCATCTGGAATTAAGCCTGTTCCTCATCTTAATCTGAATTCTGATGTCTTTAATGTTCTTTTCCTTCCCGTTAGCATGGTCATTGTGTATATTAGTCCCTTGGTTCTGCTTTCTTTCTTCTTCTATTCTCTGTTCTGTTCTTTATTTTTTAGTTCACATAAGCCTTTTCCACCATTCCATGCAGGCACTCGTATCCAGCCACAGTTATTCCTGATCCCTTGGGGAGAACAGGTAAGGCGGTACCCCCAGCCGGTGACCACATAGCCTCCACTCAGGGGATCTGTGGAAGACAGAGAAGTACGCATATTCAGGGAGCAGTCACTCACCAGAGGCTTTTGGCTTTGCAGGACCCTACCCCAGTGAAGCTGCAGGCACCAAGGCCAAATTCGCCCTCTCTGACAATGTCCAAGAGGGGAACTGGGCAGCTTCTGTAGTTAGCCAAGAAGGAAATAAGCTACAACTGACAATCTCCTCCCCGCCCACTGCTCCCATTGGCTTCTACAAACTCTCCATGGAGGTCATCACAGGATCCCATAGTAATAACTTCTCCATCACCGGCTTTATACTCATCTTCAATCCCTGGTGCCAAGGTAAGAATGCAGTAATAACAGTAGTAGAAAAATAACTACTCACATTTCTGTAGTGCTTTCAGGATTACAAAGCATTTTGCTCACAATAACTTGATGAGGTAGATAATACAAGTCTTATGATTATCCCCATTTGATTATCCCCATATTATTCCCAGATGAAGAAACTGAGGCTCATTTGTTCATATAAATATGATAGAGTGATAGAGTTAGGATTCAAACCCAGGTCTCCTGACTCCAAATCCAGTACTTTTTCCAAAACACCAGAGTGCTTCTCGGGGTGGGACATGCAGGGACTGCTTGGGCAAAGGCACCTCTCTCTCGGCATCTCAGGCTTGGGGGAGGGGTGGAGAGAGGCCTGCTTAAGATCTGTTGGCAGGTTCCATAGTCAGATATTACTAATAATAGATGTCTTCTGAGAATTCACTGCTTTATTTGTCCCTAAGCACTTTCTCATCCATTTTCTCATGGGTCCTGCACACAAAGCCCTGGGAGATTAGTAGATATAAGGGTTACTATTAACAGTTTATAGATTGGGAAATTGAAGCCCAGAGAAAGGAAAAGGTCAGTCATTGAGTTTCAGAGCTGGGACCCAGCTATGTTGACTCCTAGGCCAGGGTTCTCTTCTTTTCAACGGGGAAGATGTGGAGTCAAAAATGAAATCCTAAAACCTTGACTCCAACTCTGAAAATAGCACTCTTGGGCTGCATGTTTCCATTCTTCCTTTGCGGTACTCCCTAGTCCTAGAGATGATCTTAAACACAGTGTCTATGCTGATGGCAGAGGTCTTAGAAATGCTAGGAGGATATCATGGTGAGTAATGATAATAAAAATAATAACATCAATAATAGCTAGTATTTATAAAAATGTGCATACCCTTTGACCCAGCAATACCACTTCTAGAATTGTATCCCAAAGACATCATAAAAATGAGAAAAAGGAACCACATGTACAAAAATATTTATAGCAGCTCTTTTTGTGGTAGCCAAGAATTGGAAATTGAGGGGATGCCCATCAGTTGGGGAATAACTGTAACAAGTTGTGGTATATGAATGTAATGGAATACTATTGTGCTATAAGAAATGATGAGCAGGCAGACTTCAGAAAAACCTGGAAAAAATTGTATGGACTGATGCTGAGTGAAATGAGCAGAACCAGGAGAACATTGTACACAGTAACAGCCACGTTGTGTGATAACTGACTTTGATAAACTTAGCTCTTCTCAGCAATACAAGGATCTAAGACTTCTCCAAAAGACTCAAGATAGAAAATGCTATCCACATCCAGAGAAAGAATCATGGAGTCTCAATGCAAATTGAAGAATGCTATTTGCTCTTTTTTTTTCCTTCTGTTTTGTTTTGTTTCTTCTTTCTCCTGGCTCCTCCCATTGGTTCTAATTCTTCTTTACAACATGACTAATGTGAAAATATGTTTAATAGGAATGTATATGTAGAGCCTATATCAGATTACATGCCATTTGGGGGAGGAAGGAGAAGAAAGAAGGAGAGAAAATTTAAAACGCAAAAGCTTGTGGAAGTGAATGTTGAAAACTAAAAAAAAAAAATTGACTTAAAAAATAGCTAGTATTTATATGGAATCTACTATGAGCCAGACACAGTACTAAACGCTTTACAAATATTATTTCATTTGAGGCTCTTCACAACAACTGTGAAAGGTAGGTGCTATTATCCCCATTTTATAGTTGAGGAAACTGAAGCAAACAAAAGTTAAATGACTTGCCCAAGGTCACACAGCTAATAAGTATTTGAGGCTGGATTTGAACTCAGGTTTTTCTGACTGTAGACCAGAGCTCTATCTATTGTGGCACTTAGATGCCTCCACTAGACTTTGTAGCCCAAGGGAAATAGATTGTAACCACACTACTCCATGCTTAGAAATCACAGAATATTAGAGCAAGAAGAAACCTCAGTGGTGTCCGACCCCTTCATTTTACAGATGAAGACTAGAGAACTAAAGTCTCTTTCACAAGGTCACACAGCTAGTATCAGACCTTCCACCCCCTTCTCACCTGGCTTTTTGCTCCTCCCTGGATGAGCCTAACCATTCTCTAGCACCACAGGACGCTCTTGTCTTCCTGAGGCAGGGGAAAGAGAAATGTTTTCTTCTCAGCAGCCCCATAAAATAAGTATGATTGTTCCTATTTTACAGAGGAAGAAACTGAGGCCCAGAGCAGTTAATTAAATTGCTCAGAATAACACAGCTTTTAAATGACAGGGCTAAGATTACAACTCAGGTCCAATACAATTTTTACTATCCCACACAACCTCCCTCTACAGTGCCTCCAGCTGTCATGTGTTATATCTGTATGAATTTTTTATTTGTTTTGCTTTTTTGGTTGTTTTTTTTTTGAGTTTTTTGTTTGTTTTTTGTTTATTTGATTTCATTGCATGGAAGGAACTCTCCTAGGTACCTATCTAGAAGTAAAGGCATAAGGAGCACTGAAAGGATCAGTGACTTACCCAAGGTCAAACTGCCAGTACCTGTCAGAAGGCAGAACTTCCTGACTCCAAGACTGTGTGATTATTATTATCATGCTCACTTTTCTGACACAACAGTGATACATGTTAGACACCAGCCACCATGACCGATGTCAGACACTGTATGAAGAGTCAGAGTTAAATTATGCAAGTCTTAGGCCAAGTGTAACTGCTTGCTTTCCTCTTCAGCGGATTCAGTCTATATGGAGAAAGATGACCACCGGAATGAATATGTCCTGAATCAGTATGGCATCATCTTTCAGGGGTCCTCTACATACATTAACACGATCCCATGGAACTTTGGACAGGTGGGTGTCTCCCTGCCCTGTGCCCCACCCTCATCCCCAGTTTCCAGGAGCCAGATGGTGCCCTGGCTGCCCTTTGCCTACTTCAATCAATCAAGTCACCATCAAGAACCAAAAGGGTGCTCAGCCCTCAATCAGCTATGTTATGGAGGAGGCAAAGATGGCTGAGGCATGAGCCCTGCCCTCTGGAAGCCTTCAGTCTAACTGGGGAAAGCAAACTCACATCCATGAAATAACCTAAAGATAGTCAAGTTCCATGTTGTATGTTCTCAACCCTGAAGGCAATAGAAGACGGGAGCCAGGAGGAGGCCAGTGTAAGCTGAAACAGCCAGAAAGCATTCTAAAGGGAGTAGGTCCTGAAATCTCCCAGGAAGAAGGGGGAAAAGTAGAGAAAAGAAGAGTGAAAAGGGAGACCTGTGCCTGCCAGGTATTTCCATAAAATCTATGGCACTTTCAGGCCTCTCAATCACTCTCCCCATAAACAGCTCTGTACAGTAGGTAGTAAAAATACTGTTATCTCCCTTTCACCTGTAAGACAACTGAGGCTCAGAGAGGTAAGCCTTTCTCACCCCAAAGACCAGGCTTTGGGAAGGCAAAAAGCTGCAAGAGACTTGCCCCAAATCCAACAGCTAGTAAATGTTAAAAGCAGGATTTGAGACCAGGCCTGCTGCCTCCAGGGCTCTTTCCAGGATACCATTTGAAGATCTTTGATTTCATCAACGTGACTGTTCCCTCACAACCCTTTTCAGAAACATTTTAATGGGCTGCTATTGCTCCAAATCCTCATCCACTGGTAATCAGCCTTCTGGGAATGAGCCTTGCCACACTTTGCTAGACTGGTTTTCAGGCATAAGGCACAGAATACATAACTAAGGCCAGACAGAAAGGCTTTTCGGCATAGCAGGGCCTATCATGGTTTGTGTCCTGCTAGCAAAGCCTCTGAGAGCTGAGGGCCGCTGCCATGCCAAAAGGTGCTTAGTAAAGGACTTTGTACATAATGAGTAGTTAATAAATGGTAAATGAATGAAATGTATACATTCCAGGCTGGACTAGATCTTCCAGGTTTAGAATGCTATAATTCAGTAGATAGGCAAGGCAATTTTTAATCCCCACTTTTCAGATGAGGAGGCTGAAGCCTGGAAAAAGAAAGTGAGATGCCCAGGGACACTCAGGAATGCCCAGCTATGAGTTGTTCTCCTAGTAGAAGGAATAGGCTTGCATGGAAACATCCACATTTCTCACAGAGTGGCTCTAAAAACAGAGTTAGCAAGTGAATGGATGAGCCTTATTATGAGGCCATTGGGCATTTTCTTGGTATCAACCTAGATTTTTTTTAAAGCCTTTTCAGAGGCAGAGTGTATTGGGGTGGGGATAGGTCCCAGCAATGCCTGTGCTAATCCTGTTTCCTAGAAGTATCAGACAAGACTCGGAAAGCCCATCTCTTGCTCCCCCACTTCTCTAGAGTCAGGGGTTGACCACCTTTTTAATAATAGCTCACAGTTAATAAAAGCTGGCATAGTACTTTCCTCACAAGCCTGACAAAATAGTAGGTAGTGCCAAAGTATTAATATCATTACAGAGTAGTAAAATGAGACTTAAAGAGAAGTGGTTTGTTCAAGGCTAATCACCCAGGAATTGGCAGAGTTAATACTCAAACGCAGGCCCCCTGATATTAGCCCCAGTCATCTTTCCTCTACTTATCTAAGGACCTATGTTCCTCTACAGTTTTTGCCCTTTCATAGCTAAAAATCTCATTTCATCCACTGGCCCTGAGAAGTCAGCAGAGCTCTTATTTTTAATCTCTGTTTTGAAGATGAGGAACATGAGGTCCAGAGAGGGGAGGAGTCTCCCAAGGTTACAGAAAGAGTGAAAGCAGAGCCAGGACTCAAAACCAAATCTCCTGACTCCAGTCAACAGCTGAAATATATTCTCCCTTATGTGGTGCTAAAAGGAGTGAAGGAACAGGGCTTTTAAGGAATTGCAGAAATCGTGTGTCTTAGTGAAGGCTGTATGACCTTATATGAGTTATTTAACCCCTCTGGGCCTCAAGAAACCCTTGAGATCTGGGCAGTCAAGGGCTATAAACAAACAAGCCACTTCTACAGAAAGGCAAGAGAGAGCTCATATAACTAAGTGCTAAGGATGGGATGAAGAGGAGGAGTTCCATAATCTTAACTGAACCATCCTGCCAGGAAGTTAGGGGTGGCGCCCAGTCAGACAAAATACACCAGAATCCTTTAGACTTGGCAGGCAGGCAGGAAGGATGCTGTTAGATTGGGAGAAAGGAAAGATAACAGCAACATGCTGTTCTGCCATGCTGGCCTCCTCCTCACAGTTAGAATGTTACTGACCCACTCTGGGTAACATGTGAGCTGGGAATTTTTGTTTGTGTTTAGTTTTTAATAGTGGAGATAGTCTCCACTGAGGCACCTCAACAACGTTTATTTAGTGTCCTTCCACCCCAATCTATGCTGTAGCCCAAAAGCACAGCTATGGCCAAAGAAGGGCTCATGAAGGGGAAGAGGGGGCAGGACTCTGTTTAGGGCCAGGGTCAGGGCCCAGCATATGCCAAAATTCAATCTGTAGTTAGCATCAGAGCTCAATCCATGGCCAGGGTCATGGACTGATGGTGTTAGGGAAATAACATAGCTATTAATAATTCCTCATATTCATGACACACTTTTTGAAATGCCGCTTTCTTTTTCTTCTCTGATAATAGACTCTGCTTGCAAGAGTCTCTTTCCTAGGGTTGCCTGAACCTCGTTCTGAAGGTATCAGGAGTTTCTTAAGCCAAAGACTTCCACTGAGAAGAGATGAGGAGAGGTCCCTTAGACTACCTACAATGCAGTGCAGTTGGGTCAAAGGACTTCTTTTATTAGATTGGTGAGGCCCATATATCAAGGCAACAAATAGCATCAAATAAAATAAACAAATGCAGTAAAGCAAGACCCCCAGGTCTCAGGCTGTCAGCACTGGCAGACATCTCAGAATCCTTGGCTACCCTCCCCATGGTTCTTCCCTTTTTTCTCTTTTGTCCCTGTTATTGACTTTCCTACACAGAGCCAGCCCTCTATCCACACACTAACAATTTGTATCCCAGCCATCATCCTTCCCCTTTCGTCAAAACCACAGAATTTTGTTGAGTTTTGATACCCCTAAAATCCTCTTAGCTCTCCCAGTTACTATAGTACAGAAGGGGAAAGAGAGGTAAATGGAGCCATAACCCAGGTACAACAGACTATTAATGTCCAGGTTGTAAAGGAAGACAGAGAAAAAAATCAACTTCCTTCTGGGCTTCCCCTGTACTTGATCCTTTGTTCCATCTAATTGTACTGGGGTGGGGGTGGGAGGAAAGGGAGGAAGAAGTCTGTGTAAGGATTATTGTTACCCAGTTAGAGATAAGGAAAAGGAAGCCTAGCCAGTGAAACTCCAGGGCCTGAGGCCAGGAGCTGGTTGGCTGGGGGCTGAGTTGGGACTAGAAGCCCAGATCTCCTCATTCCTAGGTCATGGCTTTGTCCAGTGCCCCAGTACATCAACAAAAAGCAACCAACTGGAGGAAAAAAGCCATTAACTTCCTCCTACCTGCAACAGTTCACTCACTCACTCACTCATTCATTCATTTATGAGAACATTTATCAAGAACCAGGACATGTAGAGACCTGTGCTCAGTGCTAAGGGAAGACACAAAGTTTCAAGAAGGCAGTCATTGCCCTTGGGAAACTTAGTCTAGTATGGGGACATGAAATACAGAGAAGTGTAATATACATTTCATAAGTACATAACAGTGATGCAAAGCAATGTAGACTTTTGTCACAAATTATTGGGGGGTTTTCTGTTTGTTTTTTAAGATGAGAAGGGACACAGCAAGGGATGTCTATTGTCTTTGTGTCCCCAATAGTGCTATGTGATCTCTAGGCCTGCCCCTCCTAGAGCCTGAGGTAGGGTCTGAGACTTATCAGAAGCTGGAGGGCTTAAAGGCCTGAACTAGTTGAACTGGGGAAAGTCATTTGTACTCCCAGAGAAGCTGAGGGACAGGGTAGACTTAGATTTGGAAAGGATTTTGTGAGATAGAACACAGAATGTTGCTTGGAAGAGTCTTTTAAACAGAACTTGGACTGTGAGAGCTGGCAGGGACATGAGGACCATAGAACACAGAACAGAGGGCTGGAGGGGACCTTCTCTTGTGATGATTTCATTGGTTTGTGGGAGCTCCCAGTACAGAAACTCCCTGTGATTGTTCAGATCACAAATGTTTTGCATCTTATGGTCTTAGAGATTGCTAGGAGGGGCAAAGTGATTTGCCAAGGATATCACAGATACTCTGAATCTTAAATCCAGGTCTTCCTGATTCCAAGGTTACCCAATATACCTTTTACCCTAATATGCTCCTAAAGAATGCTTATTGGACTGGACTGAATGATTGGAGCCTCACCTGGAGTCTCAGAGATAGGATGGAGCAAGCCCTGAGCTGATGGAGAAATTACTGAGCCCTCGGTGGCAGGGTCTAGCCTCCATAAACAATGGAGTAGACCAGGAATGGGTGGACTGACATCAATCCCAGCCCTAGGGCTCAGGGCATGCTTTGGGCTTCCCTTCCTCTTCTCCTCCTGGGTGATAATCATGCCAGAGCATCTTAAGAATCCTAACTGGTACCACAGCAAAAATAGCAGTTCCCCTCAAAGCTTTAAGGTTTCCAAAGTGCTTTTGTCACCCCAGCCCTGCAAGGTGGGGAGTGCAAGTCACTTATTAGCCCCAGGATCAGAGCCTCTCCTAAGGAAGCTCTGAAGGCAGAATGGTATTCTGGCAAGAGCCCTATACTAGGCAGTCAGGAGGTTCTTTTCTTAGCTTTACCACTTAGACACATTGAGCAAGTTGTCCTCTCTGGGCCTTCATTTCCCTCTAAAAAATGTTGCACTGGATGACTCACGTGCCCCCTTCACCTCCCTCAGAGTTCTTTGCAATTCTAAATCCTGCTGCACTATGAACCCCCTGAGCCTCAATTTCCCCAAATGTAAAATGAAGGGGTGAGACCTTTAGATTCCTTCTAGCTCTGACATCCTAGGATTCTTTTATCATTCTCAGGTATTGTAGGTGTCCAGGCTGGCCAGTGGTGGCAGCTCTTTCACAACAAAGAAGGTCCATTGGCTGGTGAGGGACTGCAGTCAAGGGGGAGGAGACAGCAGCCCCACAGCGGTCCTTTCATTGGCTTCCTTTTGGGGGAGGAAAAAGGAGGGGAAGTAGCTTGAATCATCAGTGGCCAATGTTCAGAGAACCCCCAGGTAGCCTGTGGGCATTAATATTCATAGGGTGGCAGCAGGAGGTTTATAAATATTTATAAGTTGGTTCTGCTTCCGCTCATTAGATTAAGCCATAAAAAATTGCTATAAATCGCCATGAAGTTGAGGCCTAAGAGTAGCCAGGGGAGGAGAACTGGAGCAGATAAAAACCAAAAGATTAGAAGCTTCAGTTGATTTCTCTCAGACTTTAACCAGATAGGGAAATGTGTTGTTTAGTCATTTTCAGTTGTGTCCGACTCTTTGTGACCCCATTTGGGGTTTTCTTGGCAAAGATACTGGAGTGGTTTGCCATTTCCTTCAGCTCATTTTACAGATAAAGAAACTGAGGCAAATGAGGTTAAGTGATTTGGCCAGGCTCACACAGCTAGTATCTGGAGTCAGATTTGAACTCAGGAAGACAAGACTTCCTGACTGAGCCTAGGCCCAGTGCTTTATCCACTGTGGCACCTACCTAGCTGCCCCCAGGTCAGTACTAGGAGTGAGGAAACTTTGTTTCTAGTCCCAGATTTGTCGCTGTCTGGCTATATAATCTTCCCCTTTTTGAGCCTGTTTCCTTATTTCTTAAATTAAAAAGACGGAATAGAGGTTTCTAAGGTTCCTACATCCTTTGATTCCATGATTTAATCAGTAAGAAATTTGAGGCTCAGAGAAATAAAGTAACCTGTCCAAGTTCACTAAGCATGTTAAGAGTTCATTCATTTCATGAACATTCGGACACCACTTGCCTAGCATTATTTGCTAAACATTGGGGAGTGAAGGTAGAGAAGACACAGAAAGACTTTAGTTTATGCATATGAGATATTTAGAAAGCAATACCAGACAGTATAAAATTGAGGCAACATATACACATGGAAATTGGGGCTATAAAAAAAATATAATATGAGAAATGTCTTTCAGGTACAGCTAAGTCCTGATTAGTGTGACTAATGAATCCACTGAAGTGGTCACATGTATTTGGATTCACACTATTTGAAGTTATATAAAATATGGTAATTGACGGCAGCTCAACGGAAACATAGAGTACAAATTTGAATAATGCAGCCACTTCAGGAGATCCATTATTCACATTAATTGGGACCTAGGTGTATGGGAAGGGCCCTTGTAGAGAAGACTGGTTCTTAGCATGAAACAACAGAAAGAGGAACAATTGTTAGAAAGTGTAAAGAGGCAGATTTTGGCTCAGTATAAGTAAAAACTTCCAAACTATTTAGAGCTATTCCAAAGTGGAATGTGCTGCTTTGGGAGGTAGTGAGTTTTGTCACCAAAGGTTTTCCAATAGACTGAGAAACAGCTTGCCAGGGATATCATAGAGAGAATTACTGCTTCATGTATGGGCTGAACTAGATGCCCTCTGTGGCATCTGCCCTTTCCAACTATGAGAGTCTATGATTCTAAGCACTAAGTGGTATGGTACATCAGCTATGTGCTATGGGAGCTCACATGATTAGGCCAAGTGACCCAGGAAAATTTGTCTGGACAGGTGAAATCCTGAAGTGTAGAATTTGGGTCAGCAGAGGGGAAGCATGAGGAAGCATGGAGAAAATCAGGAACAGTATTGTGAAGCTGGAACTGTGTGTGTGTGTGTGTGTGTGTGTGTGTGTGTGTGTGTGTGTGTAGGTAGGGTTAAGCATGGAGTCAGTGGGGGACCCCAAGGGATTAAGGCATTCATGCCCCTTGTGGGCAGAGCTAAACAGTGAATTTCCCTCTTCCCTAAGACAGTCCTACTGACTTCTCGTTTTCTCTCTCTTTGGCTGCAGTTTGAAGATGGGATCATAGACATCTGCATAGAACTCCTGGACATGAGCCCCAAATTCATTACAGATGCCAGTCGAGACTGTTCCCGGCGTGGCAGCCCTATCTACATTAGTAGGGTCATCAGCGCCATGGTAAGGAGAAAAGATATCCCAACTAGTCCCTTCATCTATTCCCCTTCCCATGCCAAGGCCAGAGATGGGGCATCCTCAAGCGCCATCAGTGTATCTCAGTTATTCATTTTTCAGACATTTACCCAAATCACATACAGAGCTCTGTACTTGTTTATGGTATAGATGAGACTGAGGTCCCAGGAGCGTTTGCTGTCCCTTTAGCGTTTTAGAGGATACTTCTGGGTGGAATTAGGTGGAACCATTGTCCGTTTCCTCATTGTCCCTCCCAAATTGTGAGCCCCTTCTCACAATATTATTTTGCTCTTGTTTCTGTGCAATTCATTCTTCTTGCACTTAAAATCGTCAGTTCCTAGGTTCAGTTTTCATTGTGAGATTTGTAATAATTGGCCACCACCCAGGCAGCACAGGACTGTAGGAGGAACCAGAAATGGAAGTGATCAAGGGGGTCAGTATTCTAATTCTGTGTGACTTTGAGCAGGTCCCTTCTTCTCTCTGGGCCTCAGTTTCCTACTTTGTAAAATGAATGGGATGATCAAGATGACCTCTAAGGTCATGATATTTTCTAATCTAAGGTCTCTTCTAGCACTGACATTTTTAGAATGCTTTAAAATTTGCAAAATACTTTACATAAATTAAGTCTCTGATCTTCCTCTATGAGGTAGGTGGCATTATTAATCTCATTTACAGATGAGGAAACTGAGACTCAGAGAAGTAACAAAGCTAGTAATTATGAAGCAGGCTACTAGCCCAAGTCTCCTGGATTCCAAGGCCAGCGTTCTATCTGCTGGGCCATGCTGTTTCTAAGCTCTGTACTAAGCTCTCTAGAATTCATTCTCAGATTTGGTGGTTGGGAGACAGCAAGTCTAGCTGGTGTGTTCTCTTTTCTGGGTCATTGACAACTGGTGCTGTTTCAGGTCAACTCTAATGATGACAAGGGAATCTTACTTGGGCGCTGGGATAACAAATACAAGGATGGAGTACACCCCATGGCCTGGATAGGAAGCGTGGACATCCTGAAGAAGTGGAAGGAGAATGGGTGTACTGCGGTGAAATATGGCCAGTGCTGGGTTTTTGCTGCTGTGGCTTGCACAGGTGAGCCCCAAAGTGTTTCCATATGTAGTGGTCTTCCATAGCATAATGAGGGTGGGGAAGGCACTAATTCTGGATTCAAAGAACGCTTTTTAGTCTAAAAGTTGACTTTTACTACTCTTCAACTACAGAGAACTGTCTAGATATAATATAAAACAGTGATACAGTTAAAAAACAATTTTATTAAGTGCCTACAATACGTAGAGTACCATATTGGGCAGTGGGGAAGACATAAATTTCAGTAATAGGCCCAATCTTCATGGAACTTCTAGTCTAGTAGGGTATTAAGGTGAATTTTTAAATAATTCATTCAACAAACATTCATTTAGCACCTACTGTATACAGAGCACTGTGCTGGTACTGGAGAAAATGCAAAGGTTAAATAAGACATGATTCCTGCCCTTATGGCACTTATAGTATAGTTGGAAGGTAGACCAATATAAAAACTGTAATATACAACTTCATATAATATGTGTCTTAGAGGTACAGAAAGAACTTCCTAGTTAAGTGAGGCCTTTAAGGAAGGTCATTATCAATGGTGAAGAGTGAGAAAGGAAGTCCGGGAAAATTTCCTAGAGAAGGTAGCTTTTACACCAGACTTTAAATAATGACAGAAAATTCAATAGACAGAGGGAGAGAGTTTAGTCCAGGCGTAGAGGATGGTGTGAGCCAAAGGTATGAGAATGTTATTTGTATTCAAGGGATAGTGAATTGACCAGTTTGGCACAACTATTTATGGTGTGCAAGAAAGTTATACACAATTAGGCTGGGATGTCAGAAAAGAACCAGTTTATTGAAGGGCTTTGAATGCCAAGCAAAGCAGTTTGGACATAGGCTATATCCATGAGGCAGGGTGGAGATCAATACTGTGGGAAATACAGTTCCCATTAAATTCTAATCACCCTTACATTTCAGGAACCTTTCTAGGAGGACTTAATCATTCCTCCTCCTTCTATGTTATATATAATATAATGGATCTGAAGCCAAGGCTACCTTGTCACGTCTGACATTTCCGGGATATAGCAAGCACTTATCTGAACTTTAGTCTCTTCATCTGTAAAATGGGAATAATGATTCTTGCCTCATAAGATTCTTGTAAAAGAAACCACCTTGTAAAACCTAAAGCACTGTAGAAAAGCAAGCTTTTATCATTCATATTCCTTTTTTTTTTTTTTTGGCTAGGCAATGGGGTTGACTTACCCAGGGTCCCACAGCTGGTAAGGGTCAAGTTTCTGAGGTAACATTTGAACTCAGGTCCTCCTGACTCCAGGGCCAGTGCTCTATCTACTGCACAACCTAGCTGCCCCTATCATTCACATTCTTGTTGGTTAATCTTCATCAATGATATTAGTACATATGGGTAGAATGGGAGCTCTGGGCCTGGATTCCAAGGGTAGCAGCTCTCACCGGGTCATGCTTGTGCACAGTACATTCTTTATTCTCCAGCCTTCTGTCTATACAGACATTTTGGTTACTATGTGCCTCTGTAACTGAGCAGAAACCTTAGAGCCCCATTAGAAAATCTGTCATGCCTGGGGAGTGGTTATTTTCAACATTTTTTTTTTGACCTTTAAAGCTGTCCCTTCACTCCACACAACCAATCCTAGTGGCTTCCTTGGGTTAATTATGTCCTTGTTGTTATTTCCTCTTAGCTTGTTTGTACACATTTGTTGGCTGGCTATCTCCCCCATTAGATTGTGAGCTTCCAAGGGTAAGGTCTGTCTTTTGCCTTCCTTTGGCTCCCCATCCACTTAGCATGGTACCTGGCATATAACAGGTGCTTAATAAATGCTTATCAAAGATGACGAAGAGGATAGAGCACTGGCCCTGGATTCAGGAAGACCTGAACTGAAATCTGGCCTCAGACACTTGACCCTTACTAGCTGTGTGACCCTGGGCAAGTCACTTAACCCCATTGCCTAGCCCCCCCCAAAAAAAAAATCTTTAAAATAAATAAATAAATGCTTATCAGTTAACTAACTAGTCACCATGTTGCACCATCTTTGCATGAATCTACTTCCTCTTCTTCTAACATTTCTCAAAATTCTCTCCTCTCCCCTATCCCTTACTTCCCTAGAGAATGCAACCTAGGTAAGAAGGAATAACCCCAGGCCTCCTGGCTGAGACCATCTAAGAAGCAATACTAACATGTACTCTGGTTCCAGTGCTCAGCACAGTGCCTGGTGCTTAATAAATGTTTATTGATTGACTGATTTATTGATTGATTGATTGGTTCTGGCCTGCCTCCTCATGGAGTCTGAGACAGGACTGGATGGAGTATCAGAAGTCCCGAATTAGGTGAAATAGGGGAAAGTTTTGTTTTGCTTTAAGGAGAACTTGAAGGCTTTCAAGAATGTTAGATCTTTGTGTGTGTGTGTGGGTGGGTGGGTGGGTGAGCCAATCAGGGTTAAGTGACTTGTCCAGGGTCACACAGCTAGTAAGTGTTATGTGTCTGAGATCGGATATGAACTCAGGTCCTCCTGACTCCAAGGCCAGAACTCTATCCATTGCGCAACCTAGCTGCCCCCTAGCTGTCAGATCTTGAAGGGACTTTACAATATAGAACACAAAATGTCAGCTGGACAAGTTGGACCCCAGAACCTAGACTGTTAGAGCAGGAGTGACCTGAGAATAGTAGAACACGGAATCATAGAGGGGGATGGGACCTTAGCATATAAAACATAGGACATCAAAATTGGATGCATCTGAATGTAAAACACAGGATGTCAGAACTGGAAAGAAGCCTGGGACAGTGAATAACAGAGCTAGAAACAGACCTTAGAAGTCATTCAGCCCAATCACCTTGTTGCTCCCCTATTGCAGGTAGAGTTTTACTCATTGTATTTGTATCTCCACTGAGTAGCACAGTGCCTGACACATAGTAGGCACTTTGTACTTGTTGAATGGCTGTTTGATTACAGATGAAGAAACAGACTGAGAGGGGAAACAATTTACCCAAACTCCCATTTTGAACCCTTCTGGACTCATCTGTTTCTGACTTTTCTTTCAGTGATGCGGTGCCTAGGAATACCAAGCAGGGTCATAACCAATTACAACTCAGCCCATGATTTCAATGCTAACCTGGTCATTGACTTGTACAGAGACGAGAAAGGAGAGATCTTACAGAAAATGAGTGAAATGATATGGTGAGTCCAGGTTGGCAGAAGAGGGTTGGAATGGATAAAGGCTCTATCAGACTTCATCCTGAGGGTTTCTTCTGCACTGAGAAGATGGAAATCACCCACTGGTTACCGGGGATGGGGAGCAACAATGATAAGGGAATTAGCTGGAAGTCTTAGAGTCACAACGTCAGAGCTAGAAGGGCCCATGTGTTCCCAGATCAGCGCTCTTCGGAGGCAGATGCTTTCCCTTTTCTGGGCTCTGGGGCCTTTTTCTGGAGACTGAATAAGAAACTACCTCAAAGATTGTACTTTGAGAGAGTGCCCAGAAGATATCCCACCCATGCCTTACATTCTACCATTAGCATTTTATTCCTTTAGATTGAGTCTTTTCCTCTGCAGGTTCCTATTTCAAAATACAAATTATACAAGAAGGGGAAGAACTTTAAGTACCTAATTAAATAGAGTGAATTTGTTTACCAGATTTCAGGAGAAAGGATAGCAAGAAATGAAAGAGTGTAGAAAGAACACTGAATTTAGAGTCAGAGGACATGGTTTGGAATACAAGCTCTCCTATAATACTAGCTATGTTACCTTAGCCAAGTCACTTAGGGCTTCTCAGCCTGTTTCTTCCTTTCTAAAATGAGGGGGTTGGAATAAACTATCTTAGATCCCTTTTAGCTCTAAATTCTATGGTACTATGCCCTAAATAATTGGAAAAGGTTAATTGAGGATTGAAAAAGAACTAACTTGTGGATAATCAATACCAACCTGCCCAGGGTCAATTTTGTAAACCAACTCTGATCATCCTTCAGCCACATATCTCTATTCTATCTAGACTCTTGATTCAACCATTCATTCATTCACTCTTTTGCCACCCTCTCTCAAGGGGAACATTCACGCAGTTTTATCTCCAGTGGCAGGGAAGGGTTTCAGGAAGTCATGCACATCTCTCCTATTTCCACTTATGACCAGTGGCACACTTTGGGAACTGTCTCCTTAGGGTTAGGGGTTTATTCTGGGGGCCTAGATTGCCATTAACTGTTCTCTATAAGGAAACTTTTCAACCTGGGCCTTGATAACACTAGACCTAAGGGGCAATTGGACTCTAGTGCGCTTCATCTTTGTAAGTCCTTCCCTCTACCAATACAGATCACAACCCCTCTGTGCCAGAGTACTGGATTTGGATTCAGAGGACCTGGGTTCAAATTCTGGCTCTGTTTTCCTAGCTGTCTGACAATGAACAAATAATTTCACTTCTCTGGACCTCAGTGTTTTTCATCTATAAAATGACGGTGTTGGACTAAGTGATCTCTAAAGTACCTTCCAGAGTTAATTCTATGATCCTATGAGCCTCGTTTTCATGAAATTCTGTGGCAAGAAAAACGCCATCTCTTGATGGACAGTTTTGTATTGACAAATGTTTCTTCTCTTAGCTAGGTGAGTCCTCAGAGGATAGACACATAGGGAGTTCCATGTGTTCTGAGTCCATCGTCAAAGCATTCTCAGCTCAGAAAAACCTGCCAGACATTGCATTGTGCTACATTAGACTTTGAGGACTCAGGGTTACCTCTTTTCCACAGTGAGGCAGAGAAAAGATACTTTCATATAGTGAATTATTAGCTCTCATATAGGGAATTATTTTACTTGGCCCCTAAGGGAAGAACTAGAACCAATGGGTAGAAGTTATAAGGAAGCATATTTTGGTGCAATGTAAGAAAAAGCTTTCTAACAATTAGCTCATTCTACTTTTGAATAGCTCTCTCTTGGGAGACAGTGTGTTCCTCAGCACTAGAGGCATGCAAATGGAGGTTGGATGACTCAACTGGGTGATCAGTTGTTGGAAATATTATAGAAGGAATCTCCCTTGTTGGGGGCAGGGAGGAGGTTTAGAGGGGTTGGATTAGATGACTTCTGAGATTCCTTTCAACTCAGATTGTGTGATTCTATAAGCCCCCAGATGTTAGTAACTTTTCCTGTGGTTTCGTCAACTTTCTCTTTCTCTCTCTCTCTCTCTCTCTCTCTCTCTCTCTCTCTCTCTCTCTCTCTCTCTCTCTCTCCCCTTCTCTCTCTCTCTCTCTCTCTCCTTCTCTCTCTCTCTCTCTCTCAAAGGAATTACCACTGTTGGGTTGAATCCTGGATGACCCGTCCTGATCTAAAGCCAGGGTGCAATGGTTGGCAAGCTATTGATCCCACTCCCCAGGAAAAAAGTGAAGGTAGGTGGGTCAGATCTCTTGAATACGCCTCTATGTCCCTTCACACTGAAAGAATCACAGATTCCTCTTGCAAAAGATACAACAGAATGTAATGGAACAGAGCCCTAGATTTGGAATCAGGGAATCACCAGCTAGGTGACCTTGAGAAAATCACCCAACCTCTCTCTGGACCTCAGTTTCTTCATCTGTGAAATGAGGAGATTGGATTATATAATCCCTTAGATCCCTTCTCGTTCTAAATAGTATGATCCTATGGCCCATTCCCATCATTGGTTCTATATCAGGCCCAAGCAGATGACGTTAGGGCCTACAAACGTTGGAATCTCCCTCTAAGGCACTCCATCTCTTGGTGCTTGGCAATTCTCAAATGTTGCCCCAGTGTGGTGAATTGGGAAAAGCCCTGGGTTTGGACTCAGAGGACCTGGATTCTGATCCCAGCCCTGCCACCTGTATGGCCTTGGGAAAGTCCTTTTAACTTACTGGTCCTCCAACACTTTGTCTATAAAATTAGCTTGGATGATACAAAGATCCCTTTGGGATTTAAATCAATGATTCTCTGATCCATCTCATCAGCCAATTGTGGACCCTGAAGAATTGGGAACCTTTCATATCACCTATGCCAAGCAGGCCTCCCCTAAAGTCACTGAGCTGAGGACAGGTTCATTGCAGGTCTAGATTAGGTCCAGAAAAAATCTAGTACCAGAAGTGACATTGGGTAGATTTAGAGTAAGATGATCTGGGTTCAAAATCCTGGCTCTGTTACTTACTAGCTATCTGGCCCTAGGACAATTATGTCACCTCTTTGGGACTTTATTTTCTCATCTGTGATATGTTTGTTGGGTGTGGCAGTGGATTAGATCAGTGGTGTGAAAACTCAAATAGAAACAGATCCCTGTGGGTAGCATCTTGACTTAGAAAACCACAAACTAACATTGTCTGTAGTGTGGTGTATTTTATTTATTTTTAAACGTTTCACAATTACATTTTGATCTGATTTGGGTCCCACTCAGAAGTTTTGTGGGCTGCATACAGGTGCAGTTAGAGAATCTCTAAATTCCCTATCAGCTCTAAATTTTATGATCATGTTACCCTAGGGGGTGAAAGATGACCTCCCCATGCACTGGGCCAGTGTGCCTCTAGGCAGACAGTTCTATTCTGAGGGTCTGGTCCAAAGTCTGAGAGTCTCTAATCTTCCCAAATCAGAAAAGAAGCCATATGGAGAATCAGACAGGTTGTTAGAAATACAAGGTACCTTAAGAATCATCTAGTCTCAGGGCAGCTAGGTGGATAGAGCACTGGCCCTGTAGTCGGGAGCAACTGAATTCAAATCTGGCCTCAGACAAAACACTTGACACTTATTAGCTGTGTGACCCTAGACAAGTCACTTAATCCCAATTCCCTTAAAAAGAAAATGAAGAATCATCTAGTCTAATATGCTAATTTTACAAATAGGGAAAAAAGTCCAGAGAAAGGAAGTGACCTGCCCAGGGGCATAGAGCAAGTTTATGATAGAACTGGATCAAGAACTCGGTTCTCTTAATTAGCAGTTCATTGCTCCTTCCAAAAGACCTGCTGACTCCCCTGATGACAGACTGAATTTTTCCCCCTTCTCAGATAGAACAATTAATTTGGGGCAAATGCCAAGAGATTTATATTTGAGTAGGAATCAAAGCATTAAGCTTTAAGAATGAAACTCTAATGGGGGCACTTTACACATGAGCAAGTTGTCTCAGAAGAGAAAGGCATTCTGAAAACCATGTTTTAGGTGATTCTATCACGAAAAACCAGTCCCACTTTGTAGGAACCTCTTCTTTAGCACTCATGGTTTTTCTGACTCTTTAGGGACATACTGTTGTGGCCCAGCTTCAGTCAGAGCCGTCAAGAATGGCGATGTGAATACCAAGTATGATGCTCCCTTCGTCTTTGCCGAAATCAATGCTGATGTGGTGGAATGGATGAAGAAAAATGATGGGACTACGGTAAGGCTTCGTGCCAGAACGACGACGGTAGGCGTCATGATCAGCACAAAAGCTATAGGCAAGGATGAGAGAGAAGACATCACTTACGAGTACAAGTATCCAGAAGGTAAGACACTGGGGAGTGGTATTTACCTCTAAGAATCAGAGAGCTAGGCTCTGTGATCTTTCAGGTCCCTGCTAGCTCTGAGATTCTGTAAGTCTAAGAGTGTGAGTCCAAGATGCTGAAGTTCTACCATCTAAAATTCTGAGTCTAATAATCTTGCTTCTCTGATCTGTTCTTTTTGGCTCTTGCCTGGGTGTTGTTGTTATTGTTTCAGCCCTGCCTGACTCTTCCTGCCTCTATTTTGGGTTTTCTTGACAAAAGATATTAGAGTAGTTTGCCATTTCCTTCTTCAGCTCATTTTACAGATGAGGAAACTGAGGAAAATAAGGTTAAGTGACTTGCCCAAGGTCACACAGCTAAGAAGTGTCTGAAGTCGTATTTGAACTCAGGTCTCCCTGACTCTAAGCTAGGTGTTCTATTCACTGCACTACCTAGCTGCCCTTAGTAGTCTGGGTAATGCTCTTTTTTTTTTCTTGGTGAAAGAGTCTTGGTGTTTGGTTTATTTGTTTTTCATTTGTTCCAAATGAACATTTTAGACCTCTTCCAGTCTGAACTCATCAGTCAGTCAGGATAAATATAAGGCAATCAACTGAAAGAAGGCACTGGTCAGTATTATTAAGAGGGATAGGAAAAGAGTTTCTATGAAAGGTAGAATTTTAGCTGGGAATTGATGGAAGTCAGGCAAGGCAAGAGAAGGAGGTAAGGAATGGAGGATTGGAAGGAGAATTCCAGGCATGGTGAACAGCTAGTCAGAATGACCAGAATTAGGAGATGAAATGTCTTGTTCAAGAAATAGCAAAGAGGGGAGAGAGGAAGAGAGAAAACTTGAAACCTAAAGTTTTAAAAACATATGTTTAAAAAAAATGTTTTCACATGCTACTGGGAAATAAATATAGGAAATGGGGTACAGAAGACTATCCTGCCCTACAGGAAAATAGAAGGGGAAGGGGATAAGAGAAGGGATGAGAGATAGAAGAGAGGACAGAGTAAGGGAAGGGATATTCAGAATGCATGACATCTTGGGGTGGGGGGAGGGGGAAGATGGGGTGAAAATTTGGAACTCAAAAACTTGTGGAAGGGAATGTTGAAAACCAAAAATAAATAAATTTATATTAAGATCACCCTAAAAAAATAGCAAAGAGACCAGCATCACTAGGTCATGCAGTATGCTGAGGGAAAGGGGGTGAGGAGGTATGGAATAAGGTATGAGAAGACTGGAAAGGTAGGAGGGGACCAGGTTTTGAAAGGCTCTGAATGCCAAACAAAGGATTTTATATTTGGTCCTAGTGGTGATAGAGGGTTACAGAAGTTTACTGAAGGTGGCAGGGATTGGCAGGGGCGGAGGTGGTGGTGGTGATGGTAACATAGTCAGACCTGTGCTCCAGGAAGATTAACTTGACAGTCAAGCCAAGAATAGACTGGAGTGGGGAGAGAGTTGGGGCAGGGAGACCAACCAGCAGGCTATTGCAATTGTCCAGGTGTGAGGTGATAAGGACCTGCACTTGGCAGTCCCAGAGGAGAAAAGGAGTTGTAAACAATGTAATGAAGGGAAAACTGATAGGACTTGACAACAGATTAGATATGGAGGGTGAGAGTGAGGAGTTGGGAATAACTAGTTTTGAATCCAGGGGACTAGGAAAATGATGGTGCCCTCAACAGTAATAGGGTGTTTGAAATTGGTGAGAGTTTGGGGGAAAAGATAATGAGTTTAGTTTTGGACAGTTAGTAGACAGTTTGAGATGTGAATCTGGAGGTTAAGAGAGAGATTAGGGCTGGACAAGTAGATTTGAGAAACATTAGCACAGAGCTGACCTTTAATTCATAAGAGCTGATATCATCAAGTGAAACAGTATAGACGGAGAAGGGAAAAGGGCCCAGGACAGAGCCCTGGTAGATGGCCTCAGTGAAGATCCAGCAAAGGAGACCGAGAAGGAGCAGTCAGGCAGAGGGAAGGAAAACCAGGAAAGAGCAGTGTCATGGAAACCTAGAAAGTATAGAGGAGAAGAGGGTGATTGCAGAGAAGTAAGGAGGATGAAAATGGTGGGGGGGGGAGAGACTATTAGATTCAGTATCAGTTGAATGATGAGGTTGGAAGCTAGACTTTAAAGAGTTAAAAAGAATGAGAAAAGAAGTGGAAATATCAACAGACTCCATACAATCTTCTCAAGGAGTTTAGCTTCTAAAGAGAGGAGAGATAACTAGCAACAATAGCTAGCAGGGATGTATGGATCCAGTGAAGGCTTTTGTTTTGTTCAGTTCGGTTTGGTTTGGTTGTTTTTGGGGTTTTTTTTCAGATTGGGGAGATGGTAGGGAGTAGGGAGGCAGCAGTAGACATCACCTCACTTTATACAGAGAGAAACTGAGATCGTGAAAGAGCAAATGACTTGGCCAGACAACGTTAATGACAGAGTTGGGAGTAGACTCCCAGTCTCCTGATACCAAAAAATTAGTGCTCCTTCCCTGGACTTGGAATTGTGAGAGGCCCAGATATGAATTCTACTCGTGTTACTTACTAAGTGACCCCAGGCAAGGAGATAATGCTCCCTTCACAGTGTAGTTGTGAGTTTCAAAGGAGGCAATGTCAGGGCAGCTAGGTGGCGCAGTGAATAGAGCTCTGGCCTTGGAGTCAGAAGGACCTGAGTTAAAATCCAGCCTCAGACACTTAACACTTACTAGCTGTGTGACCTTGAGCAAGTCACTTAACCCCAATTGCCTCACCAAAAAAAAACAAAAAACAAACAACAAAGGAAACAATGTCTGTAATGTACTTTGTAAACCTTAAAATGTTCTGTGAATGTCTGCAAATATTTATAACACTGTGTAGAGTCAACTGCGAAAATTCCATGATTTAAGATCCCATCTTTCTGAGAGTCTGAAGTCTGTGATGAAAGGGATTTGAGACAGCGTCTTTTCATCTGTGAGAAGAATAACACTTGGAAGGCAAGGTGGCATGTATGGAGAGAGTGTTGGTGTTGGACTCAGGAAATTCAAATCCTGTCTCTGATACTTGCTAGCTAGCTGTGTGACCCTGGGCAAGTCACTTATCTCTCTGAGCCTGTTTTCTCCTCTGTTAATGTGGGGATAATAATAGCACTCACCTCTCATAGTGGTCTTGTGAGGGCCAAAGGAGATTTTTGTGGCAAGGCTTTTGCAAACCCTAAGGTGCTATATCAATGTTAATTATCATTATTATCATTGCTTACATACACTCATGCACACACACACACACATACACACACGCACGCACACTCACACACACTCCATGGTGTTGCTGCTCACTGAAACATTCTTTCATATCTCAGGGTCCAAGGAGGAACGGGACACATATGAAAGAGCAAATCACCTGAACAAGCTGTCTTTTAATGATGAGCCAGTGGACGATTGTCTGAAGATTAAGATCAAAGCATCCCCAGACATGAACAAGGGTAGCGACTTTAATGTCTTTGGTGTGATCAACAACATTTCGTCAGAGGAGAGAACCTGCCGGCTACTGATGGCTGCCCGGATAGTCAACTACAACGGCAGGCTCGGGCCTGAGTGCTGCAGGAAAGAGCTGCTCTCTGTGACCGTGGCACCCTTGTCTGGTAAGGTCACAAGCATGTTGTCACCTAGTGAGCTCTCATCAAGTATCTCTGTGCTCTGGGGCAGCCAGGTGGCGCAGCCCTGGACTCAGCAGGACCTGAGTTCAAATGCGGCCTCAGACACATAATACTTCCCAGCTGTGTGACTCTGGACAAGTCACTTAACCCCAGCTGCTTCACTAAAAAAATAAATAAATAAATAAAATAAAATAAAATAAAATTTTAAAAGTATCACTGTGCTCAGCACCAGGAATAGGGAAACAGGGTCATGAGATCAGAGGATGAAAACTAGAAAGAGACCTAAGGAATTAGCTATTTCAACCTCCTCATTTTACAGCTGATGAAAGTGAGGGGCAAAGAAGTCAAATGTTTTCTCCTAGGTCCCACAGGAAGTAAGGAGCAAAGCCTGCATCCAAATCCAGGCCCTCTCTTTAGTCTGTAAATCTAACCCAGTCAGGCTATATCTTCCAGAATATCTGCCCCACACCACCAACTTGACCTCCAAGCTACAGGTCCCAGCACTGAGGCACCTGGCCTTAGGCAGCTCAAGAAAGTGAAGTCTCCCAGAACTGGCATCGACAGGGAAAAAAACGTAGATGATAAGAGTGCCTCCTGAAAGGCATATGCCTTCCTATCTTCCTTCTAACGGTCACATAAAAACCATTTCCTTTCCTTTTTTCCCCTCTCAGCTAGGATCGTGCACTTTTCTTCCACTGCCAACCTTAAATGGTAGTGATGCCACTTTCACCAGAGAAAGGAGGGGAGAGTCGGCATTTACCCTTCATTATCTAATTCTTGATGGCTTGTCATTATGGAAGGAACACCACACTTGCAGCCAGCCATAAAGCCTGAGATTGAGTCTCTTATCGGTCTTACTTATCAGAAGTGTGACCACAGACAAAGCATTTACCCTCCCTCAACATCAATTTCCATATAGGCAGAATGGAAATTATAATCCTAGCACTATGGGGCAGCCAGGTGGTACAGTAGATAGAGCCCAAGCCCCTGGAGTCAGGAAGACCTGAGTTCTAATCCGGCCTCAGACACTTGACACTTACTAGCTGTGTAACCTCAGGCAAGTCACTTAATCCCTACTTGTCTCCCCCCAAAACAAAACGAAACAAAAAATTCTAGCTCTACCCACCCCACAGGGTTGTCAGGAGGATCAATTAAGCAATCAACAAGCATTTTTTAAGCACTTCCTGTGTGCCAGGTCCCATGCTAAGGGATGGAGATATAAGACAAAAATGAATCAGTCTGTTCCCTCAAGGGACTTATAGCTAGAGGGAACGATGGCTAATCTTAAAAACTACATAGCTCCTGATGAGGCAGTTATCTTGTTGACCTTGAAATGGAAGCCTGGAGAGATGAAGTGACATGTCCAGGGAGTCAGAAGACCTGGGTTCAGATCCTAGCTTCATCCACTTGCTCAAAATCTGACTCTGGCAAATCCTTTCCCTTGTTGAACTTCCATATCCCTTCCTGTAAAATGAGGTGGTTAGTGAAGATAATTTCTCAGGTACCTTCCGACTGCAGTGGCCTGTGCTTTACTCTTCCTAGCATTCCTAACCATACAGATCATTCAACTGTTCAACAACTAAGAGGTCCCTTGAGAAACTGAGATGTTTAGTGATTTACTTGGTCACACTTGACCCTCAGTGAGGGGCAGAGGTGGGACTTGGTCCTAAGTCTTCCTGACTCTGAGGTTGGTTCTCTGTTGACTATACCACGCGCTCTCTCTTGAGAGCTACAATGAATTGAATTTCATCGGTAATCCTGCCTTGAAACAAATCTATGCATCCTTCTAGTCTGGTCTCCTGATCCCCTACTAATAGTGCCCAGTCCTGTGGATGGGGGTAGGGCCCATCATTTTAAGGGAATGAGGTTCTACTCTGAGTTGAAATAGAACTCATAGACCACAGATCCACCTCCTCTCTCCTCTATCTCCTGCAGAGAGGGGTGGCGTTAGCCTTAGTGTGAAGCAGTAAACACAAGAGAAATGAGATTGCCAGAGCAGATGTCAGGAGCCTGATGGGAAGAACCAGCCGCTCAACCCTATTCCAAGGGCAAATAGCCTGTGCTTATTCTGGAATCCACCATCAAAAAGGCCCCATATAGCTTCACTCTAGCCGTTCCAGAGCAAGAGCCCTTTGCCCTGAATAAAAAAAAAAAAAACTCCTTGGCGTCCTTTACATTAATGCTTTCTAGCCTCTCCCAACTGTTTTGTGAAGAGTTCCTCCTAATCTCTAATTTAGCTCTTTATTGCCAGAGAAATCTGGATTAGACATCAGAAGTGACTTCAGGATTGCCAAATGACACTTTCCATTTTTTTTCCAATCTTTCCAAATCCTGCCAATCCTGTGCAGGATTTCCAGTCCAGACAGGTCATCTTCCTACCTTGCTTCATGCAAGGAATGCTTTCTCATCAGAAGTGCCCAGAGGCAGAGGCTGATGACCATCCATCACGCCTGTTAGAAGGCTAAAACACAGAATGTCAGAACTAGACATGAAACTTTTTGTAGTGGCAGAGATCTGGAAACAAAGTTAATGCCCATCCACTGGAGAATGGCCAAACAAATGGCAGTTCATTGATGTAATGGAATATCATTGTGCTGTGAAGAAGTGATGAATATGGTGAATACAGAGAAACATGGGAAAACTTATATGAACAGAAACAAAATGAACTAAGCAGAGTTGAGAAAACTATACGTACGATGACTAAAACAACATAGACAGAAAAAAAAATAACCACAAAACAAGGGGAAACGAAGGTTGCAAGATTAAAAAGAGCAACCTTGGTCCCAAAAAGAACGCTGAGAAGATGCCTTCCCTGTCATCCCTTTGAAGAGGTGGTAAGGGTATTCATGGGCATGGTACTTTGCATACAATGTGAGATTTTTTTTTCCTATGTGTTGATCAATTTTGCTGAATGTTTTCTCTTCTTTTTGGAAAAAAAAAACCACCTTAGTTTTATAAGGGATGGCTCTCTGGGAGGGGAGACAGGGAAGGATACAAGGGAAAACTTAAGTGGTGTGAAAATAAAAGATATCAATAAAATTATTTTTAAGAAAGATTTAGAGCCAGAAGGTACCTTAGAATGTAAAATGTCAGATGGGGAAGGGTCCTTAGAAAAGAGCATCAGAGAATATCAGTTCTAGTAAGGCCTTTAGAACATGGAATGTCAAGACTTGAAAAAGGTTTAGAGACCACCTTGCCCAAGTACCTCATTTTACATAGAAGGAAACTGAGTAGATTCAAAGAAATGAAGTGGCATGTCTAAGGTCACAAGACAGACTAGCAGCAGACCCAAGTAGTGGCCAACCTACATCTATTGGCCTAATTATGCCCCTAAATCTTAACCTTTATGACTAGTAAGCTAGAAGAGAATCTTGTTTATGGATTCATGGAGCTGGAGAAAGAACTGGGAGTCAGGAAACTAGCCAGCTACTCCAGGCTTTGTTTCTAGAGGCAATAGGGAGCCACAAAAGTTTGAGCAGGGAAGTGACATGGTCAGACCTGGGCTTTAGGAATATGACTCTGACAGTCATGTGGAGTATGAATTGGAAGGAGGAGAGAAAGACTTGAGAAGTCTTGTGTTCAGCTCTCTTGTATCTAAGCCCATCTAGGCTTCCCATCAATAATCTCAGGCAGGCTTGTAAAGTTCCAAAGGGAGGGCAGTGGGAGAGAGACCTCTCTCCAAAATTGCCTGGTATAGAGGGAATTAAATTTATAGCCCATTAAATTAGCAGGTCAAAGCTTCCTCCAAACCTATTCTTCTCCCCACAGCTATTTAATCACCATTTGTTTCCCAGATAGGATCTGCTTACTCTTTACCTAAGTTTATCTCTGCCCTTCATTAAGCCTGTCTGAGAGAAATTCTTTTGTAAATGTTCTCAAGTCCTTGTGAATGTATTCCTGACAGACTGAATTCCATTGTAGATGAAAATACAGGTAGAAGGGTAGGCAGAGAAAGATATATATCCCTTTCCCTCCATTAATAATAGCATTTATATTTATATTTAAGAATAGCATTTGTAGGGTGCTTTGGGAAGCTAGGTGGCACAGTGGATAGAATGCTAGGCCTGGAGTTAGGAAGACTCACCTTTCTGAGTGCAAATCTGGCCTCAGACATTTACTATCTGTGTGATCCTGGGCAAGTCACTTAACCTTGTTTGTCTCAGTTTCCTCATCTGCAAAATGAGCTGGAGAAGGAAACAGCAAACCACTCCAGTACCTTTGCCAAGAAAATCCCAAAAGGGGTCATGAAGAATCGGACATGACTGAAAAACAACTGAACAACAACAAAATAGAGAGCTTTAAGGTTTGGAAAGCATTCTACACATATGATCTCGTTTGATCCTTGCAAGCACCCTAGAAGATAGGTGCTATTATTGTACCCATTTTACAGATGATGAAACTGAGGCCGAAAGCGATTAAGTGATTTGCCTAGGGTTATATAGCCAGGAAGTATCTGAGGAAGGATTTGAATTCAGGTCTTCCTGACTCCAAGTCTAGTGTTCTCTTCCAATATGCCACTTAGCTAGGGGTAGTCATACTAATGATGATGATAATAATAATAATAACTAAAGAGGCAGTATTGAGTAGTGGCCAGAAAGCAGGCCTCAGAATCAGAAAGACCCAGGTTCAACTCCTGCCTCAGACACACACTGTCCTTATGACCGTAGGCAGGTGACTTCATGTCTCAGTACCCCTAAGTAACTCTTTAAAACTGTAATTTGCAGAACAGTTGCTGATCTGAATTGGTAGACTTCACTCATGGAAGATCCTTACAGCAAAGAAATCACCAGATTCCTGTCCATATCTGTTGTTTATTTAGTTTTAGAGGAAGCCGGTAGAACAGTGGATAGAGCACTGAGCCTGGAGTCAGGAAGATCTGAGTTCAAATTCTGCCTCAGGTACTTCCTAGCTGTGTGATCCTGGGCAAGCTACTTAACTTTATTTGCCCTAGTTTCTTCAACCATACAATGAAGCTAATAATATCACCTGCCTTGCAGGGTTGTTGTGAGAAGAAAATGAGCTAAGATTTATAAAAGGCCCTTAGCTTGGTGCCTGGCACATAGGAAGTACTAGATAAGTGTGTATTCTCTTTTCCTTGCCCTTTACCAACAAGCCTCTTCCAACTAGAGTGGCAGCTCAGTGTAGTGTAAAGCACCCTGGATTTGTAATCAGGGGACCCAGGTTTGAATTGTGGCCTTGATGTATGTTACCCAAATGCCCTTGGACAAGTTTTGTCAATCTTAGACTTTGAGCCGGAAGGGTCTTTAGAGACCACCAAGTTCAACCTCCTCATTTAGAGATGAGACAACCAAGGCCCAGGGAAACTAAGAAACTTGCCCAGGGCCATCCAGCTAGAAAATATCTGAGGTAGGATTTGAACCTGGGTCTTCCTGACTTTAAGTCCCAGTCCCTTAACCATTCCTACCTGATTCATCCTTTCCAACTACAAATTTCCATGGGCCTTTATCACATTTGATCCTCACAACAAGCCTTTGGGGATTGGTAGTACAAGGGTCATCATCCCCATTTCACAGATGTAGGAAGTAAATGGCAGACCCAGCTCTTTAACATGGGCCTTCCAGCCCCCAGTTCAAGGTCCCTTCCCCTCCCCAGGCTGCCTCTCAGCAGGACCCCCATCCCAGTGAGAATTCACCCAGCCCCTAAGATGTGATTCTGACCAAGGAGGAACCTAGAGGCTGATACAATCCTGGACCCTTGCCAGGATGCAGTTGTTATTCTTTTGATGACAAGATCTAGGGCACTTCCACGAGCTGGGAGGACAGGAAGCCAAGTCCAGAATGGTTTAATGTTTTCAGGTCAAACACCGGAGCAAATTATTCTCCCCTATATGTCCTGAGGCACAAGATTTTCTAGCTCCTGTAGAGGTTAGCTCTAGGGGTGTCCCCCTCCCTCCCAGCATGGGACTTTCAACTCTTGCCCATATCCTATCCCTCTAACACTAATATGGCCTCTCCCATTCTCTGGGCCCCCCTGACTTTATCACTTCGAGCCAAGGCTGCTGTATACTCCACTTTATTTCCCATCTTTTCCTAATACTAATCATAGGGTCACGGATGGTAGGTATTTAATAAGTGCTCATTATTGTTCTTTCTTTTAATGAGAAGTGATCAGAACTGGGCAGAAAGGTAACTCTGGTATTATGTCAATGTAAATGGTAGGGGACGGGAGAAGGGTCAGGAAACCTCCTCCTGGAGGTGGGAAGACATGTTAGGAAGCTGTTTGAGTAGTCCTTTGCAAAAGGTGATTAAAGACTGGCAGTTTAGAGAAAGTGAGCAGTTAGTTAAAGATGAAGAAGATCCTGGTCTATAGCTGAAGATGTATAGAAATGAGACAAGAAGGACTAGGCAGACCCACCTATGGTCTGCCCAGTATTCTCCTTGGGAGGAAAGTAGCTAAAGACTGGCCATTTTCACCATCCACATTAATAGGATACACACACACACACACACACACACACACACACACACACACACACACACACACGCACATGATAATGAACCAAAGATGAACTTTTCCTCATTTTTCTTCCAGAGAAGAAAATCCCCCTGAGGATCATCTATTCACAATATTGTGACCACTTGAATGACAGCAACCTTATCAAGGTGAAGATGCTCCTCCAAATACAAGAGTCCCATGCTATCATGATAACTGAGCGAGATATCTACTTGCAGAATCCGGAGATCAAGATCAGGGTAAGGAGAATAAGTGGCCCAGCCTGCCCCAGGGGGCAGGCCAGAGGTAAAGTAAGGGGAAGCAATGGGAGGCAGATGCCCTCATTGTAGTCCCCAAGGGGCTCCCAGGGACACAGTAAGGGGCAACAGATGGAGCCCAGTTATCTCTTTCCCCTTCCCCACAGAGGCCAAACCAGAGCATAGCTGATGCATCTCTGTCTCTCTCTCTGCCTTAGCTTCTTTGCCTATAAAATGTGTGTTGGCAGCAGCTGGGTGGTGCAGTGGATAGTGTTTGGCCTGGAGTCAGGAAGACCTTAATTCAAATTTGGCCTCACACACTTCCTAGATCTGTGATGGTAGGCAAGTCATTCAACCTCTATCCTTCTCAGTTTCCTCATCTGTAAAATGGAGACAATAGCACCTACCTCTTGGGTTTGTTGTAAAGATAAAGTGAGATATTTATAAAGTACTTTACAAACTGCACTGTCTCTAGTTATTACTATTAAATGATCTGGAAGTTCCCTTCCTGGTCTGATATTCTATGTTCTAATGTTTCTTCTAGTCCTGACATTCTATTTTCTGTGTTCTAAGGTTCCTTCCAGTTCTGACATTCTATAATTCCCTGAATACTTGCTTTTAATGTAAGCTTAGAAGCTCTTCTACAATAAAATCATGTAACTGAGCCAGGCAGTAGGACAACATGCTTTTGGAAGGTGTCTCCAGTGTGGAATAATGGAAAGCTCATAGCTCAGCTTACCTATCGGTAAACGGGGATAATAATTGCACTACCTAGCTCACAGGGCTATTGTGAGGAAAATACCTTTGTAAATCTTAGGACACTTTAAAAATGTGATTATTAGTGGGAATGCATCCCATTGACCATCTACCTTCTCTTTGGATCATTTCCCCTTGAGACTAATGGCAGTGGCCAACCAGAATCATGGTGACTCCTGTGGCCCTGGAACAGAACAAAGTTAACTAGCCCGCCCCCCACCAAGATCATGGGTCCCTTTAAGAATATGCTCTTAACTGAGCCACAGACCCCAGTTCTAGGAAAATTATATACCTGTAGCAAGAGTCCCCAAGGGCAGAAGTCAGGAGGTGAGTTATAGCAGTAATTAAGAACTTTTACTCTTTACTCATCACTAATGATGATCCTTTCAATGGTCCTATGAATGGAACTAGAGTAGGGATTATTATCCTCACTTTATACATGAGGAAACTGAGACCAGAGAGATGAAGGGATTTGCCCAACCCCTCACAGTAGAAGTGGGACTAGAATTCAAGTCTCTGGGCCCCCAGGTCAGTGCTTCCCCCACCTCTATAGCCCTGCCTCCTTGCTCTTTTCCCAAAGGTTCATATCATGCTTGTGTCCATTGCAGATCCTAGGAGAACACAAGAAGAATCGGAAGTTGGTGGCTGAATTGTCAGTTAAAAACCCTCTCCAAGTTCCCATACTTGGCAGCACCTTTACTGTGGAGGGAGCTGGGCTGACTCAGCGGCAGAAGAGAGTTGAGGTGTAAGTGTTTACTTCATACAAGTGGAAAGGGCTTTAAGGGAGTGCCTTTGTAAGAAGTCACTGACAAACTAGAACTGGAGACCATGCCAGATCTGTCAAAGGAACTAAGAGTGTGGATTTAGAAATGAAAGAACTCTTTGAGGTTATAAGATCACGGGATCATTGGTTTAGACCTGGAAGGAACCTTGGAGGCTATCTGGTTCAACCTTCTACTCCCTCCCTTTATGGGAACCCAGGGGTGGTTAAGTGACTACTTGTCCAAGTAAGTTACAGTAAGTTACAGAATCAGGATTGGAGTCCAGATTTCCCCAGGAGAAAAGAAGACTTAAGAAGGCTAAGGCAAAACATAACAGCAATCTTCAAGTACCTGCAGAATAGTCAGTTGACTCAATTAACTAGCATTTATTTAACACCAACTCCGTTCCAGGCAATGTGCTAAGCAAGAAGGGTACAAAGAGAAGTAAAAAAAAAACCCCACCAATAACAAAACAACCAAAAGCTCCATTTCTACTCTCAAATAACTCACAGTCTATGTGTATATGTGAGCATATACCTACACCACATCCACATGTAGGCATCCATATAGCATACAAACATATGGAACCACTTATTCTCTAAGTATACACATGGATATATCCATATATACTGTGATCTGGGCCCTGTCTTAGGAGTCAGGAGGCTGACTGGGTTCAATTTCAGCTCTGCCATTCAGGGGACCTTGGGCAAGTGACTCCCTCTTTTGGTCTCAGATTCCTCCCTATCAAATTAATGGGGTGAACCATATGACTTCTGAGGCCCCTTCTAGCTCTAAGATTCTATCCATGTACAGATTTGTAATCATGTCATGCACAAACATATAGCTACACATAGGAACACATATACCTTAGGAGTGAGGGGTAGAATGGGACTAGATGATGCCTAAGGAACCTTCTAGTTTTTACAGACTATGAATCTCTAGCAGCCCAGAAAGTGGTGGTTCATTTCAAGTCAATTAAACAAGCTTGGGCCAAACTATGTCTATCCTTCCCATCCCAACACCCACCCCCAGCCTATCTGCATTGTCCTGAGACATCTGTCAAAGGGTCATGAAAGCATCTCAGGACCAGGTCTCCACCATCTCTCTATTTCTTTTTCCAGCCCTGGACAAGTGGACCCTGGAAACACTGTCACAGTCCGAGTGGACCTGATGCCCCGGTGGTCCGGACTGCACAAGCTGGTGGTGAACTTCGAAAGTGACAAGATGAAAGCAGTGAAGGGCTCCTGGAATGTGGTCGTTGGAGAATAATTCAACTGAGAAGCCGCTCGTCGGCCCTAGAGGGATGGGGAGCAAACCCCAGTCTCCCCATGCCCATCCCAACCCACACAACTGAGCCTAATCACACCCTGTAGGACAACTCCTAAGATGTACCCCATCAAAACAAGGAAATTCAATCAAGAGTCTTTCCCTTCCCCCTAATGTCCTAGGCCCCATGGTGGTTCTCTAGGTCCACAGGATCAAAGATGGTCCACAGCCATCTTTGGCAGTCATGGGTTGTCTGGGTTGCATCTCTCTGGCCTATTACCCTTCCTAAAATCCAGAGCCCCCTGAAAAGGGAGGGTTTTTAATGTTCCTCGGTCATAGGGAGGTTCCTTTTCCCATGATGCACCAGTACCATGACCATGACAGGGCAGTTCTGACAGTGGCTGGCGACTGTCGGAGATGTAATGCCCTGTTCCTGGCCTTTAACTATTTTTCTGCAGACAGAAAACTCCCCTGTCCCAATCAGGGGTCCCCTTCTTGTATCATCAGGCCATGGGTCTAGACCAGGATGGTCAGTTTCAACCTATACCCTCCCTCCTATCCCCCAAGCTAGCCCTACCAAGAGATAGAGGATACAGTGGGAGGTTTAGACAAGCAAAAAGATGGCTCCTAGAGTTAGGGGGATCAGGGAGCTTGATACTGGGGACTGGTAGATGAATCTGCATCATATTCAAGAAATAAGTAGGATGTAGTGGAAAGAACCCTGGGCTGGGAAGTAAGGAGGCAAAGCTGCTGTCTTGAAATACCTGTAGGGCTGTTACATGGAAGATGATCTTTTTCTGATTGGTTCCAGAGAGCAGAACTGGGAGAAACTGATAGAAATCATAGGGAGGTTGATTTCAGCTCAAAGAAAGACCTCTTTAAAAATCAGAGCTGATCCACAAAGGAATGGAACTGCCTCAAGAGGTAATGAGGACCTTTGTTCCTAGATCTCCAAGGACAGACCACTTGTCAGGGATGTTACAAGTGGACTGCTGCACTGGAAAGGGAGCTGGGCTAGAACTGAGGCTCCTTCCAATTTAGGATTTCTATGATTTTAACCCAATCTCTGCTAAGGCATTTCCTATCTCTGGGCCTCTGTTACCTCCTCTGTCAAAGGAAGTGATTGGTTTGGATAGCATAGTCTCTTTACCGTGCCCTTCCCGTCAAGCTCTGAGACTCTGAGTAGAAAGGTAGGACTAGCGCCTACAGTCCTGTCCTCCAGAGAGCCAAGTTATTCACTCCATGTCAGAGCCTGGAGGCTGGGAGCCCATGGGACAACATGTGCTTTGTTCTCAAAGGCATTAGGCTACCTGCTTGTTAGGTTCCCAAGAACTACCAGGTGACTGTAATATTCAATTTGCCTTCACATTTCTCTCTCCACCTTTGTCATTATGTCTTCAAGTCAGCCTGACTTTGCCACATCTTCCTCCTTTCTTTCTCCTACCATTCTCAGTACCTGCACCAGACCTTCTGGGGGCAAAGCTAAGATTCTTAGGAGCCAGCCTTCTGTATTAGCTTGTATTGATGCTAACCCCAGGCCTAACCTCAGGCCCTTCTCATTGCACAGCCTCTCAGCACAGATCTGGAGACTTAGAGTGAAGCAGGGAGGACAGGTCTTCAAAGCTACAGCTTCCAGCAGAACTTGAACATCTTTGAACAAGGTCTAGCAAGCTTGAGGATGCTGAAGATAGAATTCTTGTTCAGGAAGGGGTGGAACTACAAGGATTTGAAGATTCTTTGTAACACTGATTTAGGGTTTCTGTGATAAGATCTGCCCAAGCTTGTGTGCCATTCACATAGCTTTAAAAAAAAAATGTAGGGTCATCTTCATGAGAAACAACATGCCAGAAAAAAAGGGACCAATAGGGTGAGGAGTCCTGAAACCACCTAAATAGATGAATATAAGTTGAAGGAGCTAGGGATTTTTAGCCTAGTGAAGACAGGATGACAGTTGCCTTCAAATCCTTTAAGTGCTATCACAAGAAAGATTAGACTTCTACTTAGTTCCAAAGGGCAGAACTATAAACAATGGAGAGACGTTACAAAGAAGCAGATTTTTATATGAGTGAAAAAAAATATCAGAGCTGTACAAAATAGGAATGGACTGCCTCAGAAGTACTGGAGTTCTTCAGTCATCAACTAATCAACAAGCATCTATTAAGTGCCTACTCTGTGCCAGGAGCTGTCCTAGGTTTTGGAGGCACAAATAAACAAATGAGACAGTCCCTGCCCTCCAAGAGTTTACTGATGAAAGACCACTTGGGGGTGCCATGGAGAGATGTCCTGCTTCAGTTTCAAGCTGTAACAGACAACCTCTTGACAACCTGTCTAGCAAGTGAAATGGGATTAGAAAATTCCTGTCCCAGATCTGAAAATTCCCGAGTTTAGGGGAAATACCTGCAAGATAAAGAAATATTCCTTGCTTCTCTACCATCTTCCAGCTTCCAGTTAGCTTTAGGATATCAAGTCTCAGAAAGGTAAAATCTGTTGGGAGAACACAAAACATGTATAGGCTTCTGGAGAAAGATCCTCATGTAGAGGAATAATTCCTAGACTGGAAGTCAGAGGAACTGGATTCTAGTTCTGGTTCCACCAAAAACAGTTACGCTAGGCAGTTGATTTCCCTGACTTTGGTTAACAGGTCTGTAAAATGAGAACATAAGATTGCTGTGAACATCCCATGAGATACTGGCTATGAATTCACTGTAAAACACGGCATCAGCATGAAATGATGTCTATCTGGAAAATGGGAGATAAAGGGTTTTGGAAGCTTTGCTCATACTTGCTACTACTACTGCTAGGGAAATATTCTGGCTTTATTTTTTTCAAACAAGATTTTAAAATGTGAGCAAAAAATGGTGTTTGATTCTGGCCATAGGTTACATAAAGCTTTTTCGAGCAGAGCGGGCGGGGGACTTGCTTTCGAACCATCTGTGCCCATCCCCACATGTCGGCACTTGCCAGCTATTTGAGCATGCGTATGTAGTGCATGTGCTGAAGTAACCAAAATAAAGATTGTATTTGTCACCTTGGAACATCAGCTCCTGGTTTGTTTTGGAAAGCCTTTCTTTCGTGTAGGGCTCCAGCATTGCCTAGTTGTTTGGTGGGCCGAGGCAGGAGATGCAGTTCATCGGCCACATAGCTCAGCTCCCTCTGTGTGCCCTGCCCCAGTGCTACAGTCTGATGGGACAAAAGGAAAGTGACTGAAGAAGAGCCATCACCACGGGGTGGAAGGAGTCCTGGACTGGGAACCAGGAGACAAAGGTTCCAGCTCTAGCTCACTAACACAGTGTGTGACCTTGGTCAAATCACTTTTAGTCATAGGATTTAGAACTACAAGAGACCTTAGAGATTAGGTCCAACACTCTGATTTACAGAACTGGAAACAAAAAACCCAGAGAGGTTTAAGTGACTTTCCCAGTGTCATACAGCTTCTCTCTGGGCCATCTATAAAATGAAGGGGTTAGACTAGATGGTCTCAGAGGCCTCTTCCAATTCCGAAATTTTATATTCTGGCTCTCTTCCAGCTTTCACATTCCATGTTCTAAGGTCCCACCCGGCTTTGACATTACATGTTCAGAAAGTCCATACATGTTTGCCTCAGTCTGCTTATCTGTAAAATGGAGATAATAATAGCATTTTCTTCTCAGGGTAACTGTGGGGATCAAATGAGAGAGCAATTGTAAAGTACTTAGCACTGTGCCTCAAACACAGTAAGCACTATGCTTCCATTATTCTATGTCCTATGTCCTATTATTCTATGTCTAAGGGTCCTTCTAGCTGACATGCTATGGCTCTATGAGGAGTGGAATGAAGCTGAAGTTCTTTGCCCAAAAGACCAGGCACTATTCCCCTTCCCAGCCAGTTACAGACTAATTCTTATCATTGTAAGCCTCTACAGGCTTGGGGAGGGTTAGCTGGCATCCCAGAACACCCCAAGCTGTCAGCCAATGCACCCTCAGTGTGGTCTTAGCAGCAGGCATGAATAAGCCCTTGTTCTTTTATCTTAATTGCAGCCTCTCTTTCAGGACAGTTCCTGCAGGTGGCACCTCCTCTGTGAGCTGCATATGAGGAGCTAATATAAAATCCCAGAGGCTGTGGCTGAGGCCTAACATTCTACCATTAGTCATTTGGTCCTTGGGATTAAGCATCATCCTTTTTTGGCTCAGCTTTCAAAACACCAATTCTCTCTGGGAAAAGGTCATAGCCAAGGCAGTCTAGAGAGCCATAAATTCATAAAGCTGGAAATGACTCCAGATACCATCTCATCCACTCCCCTCACACAGAAAGGAAAACTGAGGCTCAGGCAAGCATAAGGTCAAACACTGAGTTAGTTGGATAGCTTGGGACTTAAACCTAAGTCTCCTGACTCAAGGGACTCAGCAAAATTCCGTTTCCAAGGTGCTTCACTGTCTCATACATTGAAGTACATGAGAATTGATGCCTCTGGTGCAGGAAGAAGACAGGTTTTATAAAAGCCAATGTCACTCAGCATCCAGGCACCCCTGTTCTCATAAGGGACTCCTGCTTTGGACTTGTGAGGATCTGAGTGAATTCCTAGGGGAGCCTAAATCCTAAAAGAGGAGATTCAGGCTTTTTTTTTCTCTCAGGCTTATTATATACCTATACTGTAATACCAAGTAAAAGCTCAGGTATGGCTATGGTATGAGAGACTCTAATGTCTAGAGTCTCCTCTAAAATGGGTTAATAGGTCCCTCTTCTGGAAAAGTCACTCAATGTACAAAGTAGTCGATACCAAGTTTAGGACAACTGTATATTTTCTCTACCATAAATGAAATGCTTAAAACAAAAGACTCCTAAGTATGCATTAACACATTTAAAACAAACTACAATTCATCACCACTGTTAAAGACACTCAACAACTTAGTGGGACTGCTGTGCAGATTTCATTTTTCCCTCAGTCTATACTGTCTGGACAGCAACTCAAGGTTCAAGTCTTCTGGATAGCTAAGGTATGGATCATCTTCATGGTTGTGGTCACCTTTTCCTATGAGAAGAGTAAAACTGCACAAGACATCTCCCACCAAGCAACCAGCTCCTAATTCAGGGACTCCAGAGCTCTCAAATTCCTGAGGTAGCTGCCAAAGCTGGAAACATCCATCTCTGAGGCTCGTTGTTCAGTTTTAAGTATTCAGAGAAAGAAACACAAAGTAGAAGAGGGACCTGGGGACTTGAAGTCTAGGATCAAGCTTACCTAAAGAAGCACATGTTCTCAGTGCAATTTTCTTGCAACCCCCATAGCTGTTGCTGGGGAAGAGAGAAGATAAATTTTCCTTCTCCCTTTCCTGGAAATCTAAGGGAGAGCAGGCAGAGTCCCAAGTGACATGCTCAAAAGAGAGGAAAAGAAAAAAGAAAACTATCCTCTCCTTTTAAAGCCTACCCTACTAAGAGGGTGGTACTCCTTGGCTCAGTCACCAATCAGTTTTGACATCCTTCCTGTTATGGGGATGAAGGAACCAATTGGGAGTGTTTGGTTGCACGTGTGTTTAGCAAAAGCCTGGAGCACATGTCCCTCTGGAAGGGGCCCAGCTTCATGGGAATCCAAAACTCTGCTACACTCTCCCCTCAATTAAATATTTGCTATACCCAGCAAATCAACTGGGATGCTTTGGGTACATCTATCCATATCCCTAATTTCATAAAAGTCCTCTGGGAATCTGAGGAGGCTCAAACAACAACCTTTCAAGTACATTCCCTAATCCCTTACACTAAAGAGTCTTAAAATCTATGACTCACAATTCTTAATAGCCTTCTGTATGCCATGCACAGTCCCAAGCAGTCCACTCAGCATAGTTCTTAAACAATCTCAAAATTAATAGTTTGGGTGGTTGTTTTTGTTTTGTGAGGACCCAGATTTACCATAGCTGGCATGCCTGGAAATTACAATTACTCTCCAAATACAAATAAGCTACCACCAACCTAGTATTTATAAGGGTTTTATCCCAACTCAAATGAACTAGGAAAAACAAAATTTAAAATTTGAATTAAACTAAAAAAAGCAGGAAAAAAAGGAAAAAGAAAGAAAAAACAAGCTTCTTCTCTTGGAGGGAAAGTCTAGCTCCTAGAACACATTAGGTTCTTACAAAAGGGACTCTTGGCCTGAGGTTGACTAATTTTCTCACCTTCAGGTAAGAAATGAAATTGTCCTCGGTGAAAATTCCTCCACTGATACTTCCTGCACATGAGGCAACCCAAACTAAGTCCAGACAAAATACCTCCAGGGGACCATAAAACACACGGATGACCCCAAACTCCTTTAGTGGATACCTGCAAAACCACAGGGAATCCAATAAAGTGGTCCAACCCAATCTTACACTAGGATAAAGTAGGTTAACTCAAAAAATTAAACTCAAATGAGTCCTGAATATATGTGGGGCTCCCTAAATGAGATTAAATTCAGGTGGAATCAACCCCTCACATTCTGGATGAGTCACTCATGGCCCAGGAGAACTCCACTCACAAAGGGACTCTAGTTCATGTTTCCATGACAATATTCATGAGAATACTGAGCCAGAGGTTACATCAACAATATGCATATTATATTCCCCACAGAAAGATGCTTAACTATCTGAGCTATAAACCCTGGAGCCCCAGAATATTAAAAGCTTTTCCCTTCATAGAAACAGAATAGTAAATTTCTCCATTTTATAATAAATTATGTTTATTCTACATTGAGTTTCACCTTAAACCACTTTGGCTCACTTCCCATTCACTGAATCATACCTGGAGGACTAGGATGTGAACATGCACACGTGAATACATGCACATGTGCACGCAAACACATACACACACACATCCCACATACACTTAGCCTCACACACAACACACACACACTTAGCACTCCTCAGACAGACATATTGCCACAAGAAGATACACTGAGGATTTTCTCCTTGATAACCTTCCCCCACACATACACACACTTCTATTCATATTCTTAAAGAAGTGTGAATGTGAGCATGTATACATAGGTATGTCCCTATACCTATAATCATATATATAATATATAAATACATACACACACACACACACATATATATGAATGCATACATTTGTAT